TTCCTTCCCTCCTTCCTTCCCTCCTTCCTTCCTTCCTTCCTTCCTTCCTTCCTTCCTTCTTCGGCTGTGGTTTTCAAGCTTTAGTGTGGTACAGAATCACAAAATTATGTTGATGATGCTGGTGTGGGGATTATTCTCATATAATCATTAAGTAATACAATGTATATCCTTAGTTTTCACACTCAGAGTTAATAATGTTATGACTTTACTTATAGTATAGAAACTTTTCAGTTGTATGGGTCCAGTTACTACCTCTCTATGTAGGCTTATGCTGTACTTTTGATGTGTATTATAAATATGTAGGTTTTGAAATCCACGAAGTTTTACTTTAATCAGGCATATATTTTTTCAAGAAATTAAGAGAAAAAATAATGTGTTTTTTTGTACTATCCACATGCTAACCTTTATACCATTATTTTTTCCTGAAATTCTGTTTTCTTCTCTTTTCCCTAAAGTTGAAATAACTTCCTTTAGCATTTCTTATACTCAGGTTTGCTGATAACAAATATCTTTGGCTTTCTTTATCTGAAAAGGTCTTTATTTTACTATCATTCTTGGAAGATTTTATAGTGACATAGAATTTCAAGTTGACAGTTTTAAGCTTTTCTTCCTATTAGCACATTTAAAAATTCAACTATATACTGGTCTGCATTGTTTCTAATAAGAAGTCAGTAGTTGCTGAAATAGTTGTTCCCTATATGTTCTCATCATTGCAACTCTAAACCACCTGCATCCTTCATGCTCTCTCTAATCGTACTGGGATGCAGTCTCACGTCACCAGTTTTCTGTATGGAGTTTATTCAGTCTTTCAGCCATTGGTCAGGTTTCTGCTCTGTAACTGCTTGTATAGCACACCTTGTGTTTCTATCTAAAATTTTTAAATTCACTGTTTTTCCTTGACTAATTTGGCTGAATTACTAGTTTTCTTCTTAAAGATGCTAATATTCTCCCAGTCTCTTAGATTTAAGATCTTTTATTTAGTTTTGTAGTGCTGGGGATTGAACTAAGGGCCTTAATTAAGTATGCTAGGCAAGTACTCTACCTCGAAGCTACACCCCAGCACTGGACTCAAAATCCTGAAGTAAATTTTTAACCCTTTTTTCAACTTCACACTCTATGAAGTTCAGTGCTGCTGTTACTTCTTGTTTGAAAAATGGCTTCTGTTAACTTCTTTTTTTTGTGTGTGTGTATGTGGTGCTGGGGATTAAACCCAGGGCCTTGTACATGCAAAGGAGGCACTCTATCAATTCAGCTATATCCCCAGCCCTATTCACTTCCTTTTTGACTGCTGCCATCTAAACACTGGAGTCTAAAATAAGAGAAAATATTTTAAAATATATTGGCTTTTATTGTTTTCCCAATCAGCGTACTATGAATTCAAAAGTTCCATAGTTTTGATCTGAGGTGTTTTTCAAAAGCTCCTATGCCGCAGTCTGGCTGGGCACAATTCAGGAGCCACTTGTCAAAAGAAACAAACTTTATTTTTAGAACCACACACGCCAAACAAAACAGCTCCTCAGGAAATACCTTCAGAGCCCAACTGCCACCACCGGCTTCCCACAAGCCTCTCACCCTCCCCCACTCTTCCTGCTCTGAGGCCGATTGGCTGGGTCACGTGGGCGGAGCCAAAAAAGTCCCCCAATAAACTGAAAGGGTGGGGAAACAGTCCAATGAGCATCACCACAGAGGAGCCAATCAGTTGGCAGCTAGAAGTTGCTGGGGCCGCTGTGAGCCAATCATCAGCTGGCAGCTGGAAGTTTGCTGGCAGCTGGAATTTTGCTGGGGCTCCTTCGGCTGTGGCTCTCAACACTCCTGTGTTAATGCAGGAATATCAGATGTAAAATTATTAGATTATGAGCACTATAACCTAATCAGTCAACCCTAGTTTGAATGGACTGAGTGGGTCGTAACTTTAGGCAGGTGGGGCATGGCGGGAGGAGGTGGGTCACTAAGAATGTGCCCTGGAAGGGTTCACCTTCTGTGGACTCTTTCCTCTCTTTGGTTCCTGGCCACCATGAATGGAGCAGCTTCCCACTGCCATGATGTTCTGCCTCACCTTTGACCCAGAACAGTGGACTCAGCCAACTGTGGATTAAACCTCTGAAACCATGAACTGAAATCACCTTTCCTCTTATAAGTTGTTCTTTCTGGATATTTTGGTCCTGGCAGCAAAAAGCTGACTAACACAAAAGCTTTTACTGTTCCTTATATCCCTTATTCTTGCCTGTCACTATTACATTAACAATCTTATAAAAATACTGCTTTATTTTGAATTATACACCTAATATTTTCAGTTACTCCCCATTTCTTTTGGTAATTTATCATTTTGGAGAAAAGTCACTCTCATGAACTCTTAATTTTGACAAATTAGTCTAATTTTTGATAATGCAAATTAGATATGGCTAAACATAAAACTAAGCAAGTAAACTTTTGCACAAATAGATATATAACTAATTTAAAAGTTTATTACAAACTATAAAATGAAGAATATTTAAATTAATACCATTATGTAACAAAGGGTATTTATCAACATTTCAACATGAATACAGTACAGAGGTAGTCATGGGCCTGTTCTCAGTGATGACTCAACTGCTTTTCTGTATTCAGACATCTGAGAACCCTTTGTTTCCACAGCATGCTGTGGTACCATTTGGCCTTCCCTTCCCTTCATTTAAGAAATAGATCCACCTCTGTCTTTTTCTCATCCCTTAGTCTGCTATAATTGAAATGGCACTACTTGGCTACGTAGTGCTACAATAAGGTAGTAACTAAAACACGCATTGAGACACCAGTACTACCTGGTGATCAGGGCTTCTAGGTGAGCATCCAGATGATCAGAATGTGGGGTGAGTGTGTGTGTGTGTGTATGTGTGTGTGACGGGGGTGGGGGGCAGGGTGAAAAGGACAAAAAGAGTTTTAGTCAACTTGAAAATAAGAAACTTAGAAGATTGTATAGGAAACAAATAGAATCTTAAAATCATTCCCGTGCCCCTAGAGTCCACAGATCCCATTATAGAAATCACTAGTCTGTAAGATAAAGGCCTTATTGCCCTGGCTCAGTCCCCTCCCTTTCCTGCCTTGTCTTTCTTTTCTACATTCTTACTGTGATGATAACATGCCCACACTTGCCTGAATGCTTTCTCTGGCTATAGAGGCCCATCATCTATACCCTTTAAGGGCCATTCATGCTATTATTTCCTTGAAGTCTCTGCTCACCATTTCAGTGATAATTTAATTTTTTCTCTTCCTTTGAACACATCTTTGGTTTCCTTCTGTATCCAATATTTTGGCATTTTGGTTTTTTGTAATGTAATTTTAAACCATTTGATTTTCATGTTCTATATAGCACTAGACTTTTGGGACCTTAAAGGCTAAATAATATCTTAAAAATATTTTTTTTTTGCATAATCCTTAGGACCATTGTTGATATTCTTGAAACATTTTCTTGGGGAATCAAATAATTAAATGAAATGCTAAGTATTACAGATTTAGTTTTGTGGCAAAAATATGTGTTTTCATTATGTAGAATATAAGCAAAACAGGTTGATATGGAAAATTTGTATTTCTGAAAAACTAAAAAGCTTTACTTTTTTTTTTTTTTGCATCTATTTGTTCTTCATTTTCAGGACTGTTGGGAAAGATCCTGATGGCTATTCGAGATGCATGTTTTGAAATCTCAGCTATTCAAATGGTAGGTACTTTGAAGTAAGCCATAACATATTGAGGATTAAAAAATAATCTTCAATATTTAAAAAATTTTTTAGTTGTTGAAGGACCTTTATTTTATTTACTTATTTATTTGTGGTGCTAAGAATCAAACCCAGTGCCTCACAAATGCTAGGCAAGCACTCTATAACCCCTACCCGTAATCTTTAACATTTTTTAATTGAATGCTCTCTGAGCACTTTTAAACTCAGTGCATTAAAAAGAAAATGTTTTCTGAACTCAGTAACCTTATAATAAAAAAGTTTTTTTTTTAAAGAAAAATTATCAACTAGTTTGTAAAGTCATCAATCAAAACTTGTAAACTAATGAGAAGATGAATAATTATGAAATCTTATCTAGGAGTGTTAAGAAGTCTTAGCCAAAACTTTCTAAAAATGTTGCTTGTTGGTGTATTAAGTGATTATAGGATCTACGCCTACTCTAAAAAATAATAACTATAGGAATTTTAGCTTTAAACATTGACCTAGCTCGAGGCCCACAACCTAGCACAGTGATTGGCTGTAGTACTTAATGAAAATAATAGCAAGACAAAAAGTATTAGTTGAACTTATGATGGAGGCCTGGGAGTGTAGTGGTAAGTGCAGTCTTTGACTTTTGGAACCAGAAAGATCTATTTGTGAATCTGAGTTTAGCTGCTTTCTAGGTATGTGACACTGACCACAGGTCAAGCATTCTGTCCCTAGCTTTTCTCATCTGGGTGGTAAAAACATTAATTGTCTGAATGAGTTATTCTGAAAATTAAATTAAATAGCTGTACACAGTACCTTGCAGAGTTTATAGATCAAATTCCTGAGTATTTAACAGGTTATATCTTCTGTTATTATTGCATTACATTAATAAAAGTTGTGTGAATGTAAGATAAAACACTGATATCAAATAATTCTCTTCCTGTAATAAATTTTGCCTATGATGATAAATCCTTTCAACTTGAAGTATTGTCTCTGTAGGAAGAAATTTCTCAGTAATCTTTAATCTTGGTAACAATGGAGAAACAATGTAAGGGGGAAAAATAAAATGAAAATTCAGAGGCAGTTTTTAAAATAGTAGGGTTTTAGTTCTTGAGATCTGAAGTGTAAAGTTTTACTACTAGCTACCTTTAAGTCCAGCCTGCATAGGAATGACTTGTTATGGACTGACCTTGTAAACATATTCTTATTCATAATGTTATGAAAGGAAGTAGCAAGTCCAGATGATGTTTGTAAGTGTTTTGTTAGAAATCTGACTACGAATTTCTCTGAATTCTTTGGAGAAAAACAATACTGTTTTTCATTCCCTCTACAAAATCTAATTACATTTCTTTAGTAATATTTCTTTCTTATACCTCTGATCTATCAACAAATAATACTACATTGCATAAGTTCTTTTTATCAAGAATGAGGTTTTATTCAGATAGGTATAGGGTAGCAGATAAGAACACGACCAGTGGGATCAGACTGCTGGGAGCAGAATGGCAATCTGGGAAGGGTTCATTGCTCTTCTGACTCTTAGTAGCCTTATCTTATCTAGCTGTGCCATAAAATTGTGAGAAGTAAATTAGATAATGCATGACATATTAAGTACTCAAAGGTTATAAATTAATAGCACATTAATAGATAATGCATGACATATTAAGTACTCAAAGGTTATAAATTAATAGCACATTTTTACAAAAGAGGAAATTATTCAAGATTCACATTTTGACGGAGAATATCATGCTAAGTGAAATTAGCCCAACTCAGAAACTCAAAGATCAAGTGTTTTCTTTCATTTTTGAAAAGGAGGAGGGAAGGATAGGCTAACATAAAGAACTAATCAAATATAAATTAATAGACATATGAAAAGAAGTCTAATAGAGTAGAGGAAGGAGAATGGGAGAGGGGAGGAAGGATGGGAGGGAAAAGGGAAAGGATCAGGAAGTGAAATCAATTTCCATGCATGTATGGATTACTCAGGATGAACCCGACTACTATGTATAACGATAAAGCTCTAATTAAAGAAAAAAAGTCTGAATGTTATCTCTGATAGCAGCAGTGCTGGACCTTGGGGGAAAAGAGTAAGGATTGAAGAGGGATCAGTGGAGGGAGGTAGAGGAGGCCGGGTGGGGGAGTGCTGAACGGAGCAGGTCGAGCCCCTTGCTTTTGTGATTATGTCAGGTTGTTTCCTGTGTTGTACATAACCAAAAGCAATTAAAAACAAATAAAGAAAAACAAATTTAAAAGGAAACAAAAGAATTTACATTTTGAAGTAAAGAATATATCTAAGGGATAATATATGGTGAGTGCCAAGAATGGCTAATTTATTTTTCTTTGGTTGGTGGGCTTACAGTTTTATTTTATTTTTTAATATAGTTCAATATGGATCGTGTTAATGTTGAAGAATTCTATGAAGTTTATAAAGGTGTAGTGACAGAGTATAATGTAAGTATTGAAGTAAATTTAAAGCAAAACCATTTGGATGTCTCAAATCTTGGGGATCTCAGTATAATTTAAAATCCTTGAAAGTATTTCTTAAATTATGATTTGCAAACTATACATATGAGAAGGGCTAATATTCAAAATATATCAGGGACTCAAGCAACAACTCTGTAGTTAGAAAATAAAACACCTAAAGTAAAAATGAACAAAGAATCTGAACAGATATTTCTCAAAAGAAGAAATGTGACTGGCCAACAGATGTATGAAAAAATGTTTACCATTTCTGATCATCAAGGAAATGCAAATCAAAAGCTGCAATGAGATATCACCTCCTGTTTGCTACAATGGCTATTATCGAAAAGATTAATGATAACAAACCCCTTTAGTTAAAAATGCTGAAGAAACTAGGGAGAGAAGGAATTTACCTCAACATTATGAAGGCTATAGATGACAAGCCTAAGGTCATTATCATACTGAACAAAGAAAAACTGAAACCATTTCATCTAAAATCAGGAACAAAACAAGGATCTCTCCTCTTATCACTCCTGTGCAATATAGTTCTTGAAATTGTATCCAGAGTAGTCAGGTAAGAGAAGGAAATTGTAGTGTTAAAAAAAGGAAAATAAGTCAAACTACCTCTGTTTGCTAATGATATGGTCCTATATCTATAAGACTTCTAGTTCATCAAAGTATCAGGATATAAGATCAAAAATTTTAAAAAAATAGCTTTTCTATATGACCCAGCTATCCAAAATTTAAAAAAAAATAGCTTTTCTATTCCAATAATTAATCTACTGAGGAAAAAAAAATCAGGAGAACAATTTAATTTATAGTATCCTAAAAATATAAAATAATTGGGAATAAATCTAAGAAGGTGAAAGGCCTCCAATGAAAATTATAGAACATTGAAGAGAGAAATTGAAGAAGACCTTAGAAGATGGAAAGACCTCTCATGTTTGTGGATACATAGAATCAATATTGTTAAAATGGCCATACTACCAAAAGCAATACAGACTCAATATAATTACTATCAAAATACCAATGGCATTCTTCATAGAATTAGAAAAAAGTAGTCCTAAATTCATCTGGAAGAATAAAAGACTCAGAATAGCCAAAGCAATATCAAGCAATGAGAGATGCTAGGGGCATCACAATATCTGTTCTCAAATAATACTACACAACTATAAAAAACAGCATAGTATTGGCATAAAAAACAGACATGAAGACAATGGAATAGGGTAGAAGAGACAGATACGAACCCATACAGATACAGTCATCTGGTACTTGACAAAGGTGCCAAAAACATATATAGGAGAAAAGAAATGGTGCTAGGGAAGTTGGATACCATATGTAGAAGAATTAAATTAGATTCCTATCTCTCACCATGCACAAAAGTCAACTCCTAGTAGATCAAAGACCTAAGAATTCAATCAGGAGCACTGTAACTTCTTAAAAAAAAAAAAAAAAAGTAGGCTCAATACTCTGACATATTTGCACAGGCATTGACTTCCTTAATAAGACTCCAAAGCTAAAGAAATAAAACCAGATTCAACAGATCGGATGGCACAGCAAATGAAACAAGAGCATGAAGGAAAGCCTATAGAATGGGGAAAAATCTTTGCCAGTTACTTTTCTAACAGGGGATTAATATTCAGAATATATGGAGAACTCAAAAAACTTAACACCAAAACCCCAAATAACACAATCAGTATATGGGCAAATGAACTAAACAGATATTTCTCAGAAGAAGAAGTACAAATGGCCCACAAATATATTTTAAAAATGTTCAATGTCTTTAGCCATCAGGGAAATGCAAACCAAAACTACACTGAGATTTCATCTCACTCCACAGTCATCAAGAATAAAAATAACAATAAATGCTGACAAGGATGTGAGGGAAAAGATACACATTGTTGGTGGGACTACAGTTTAGTCCAATTACTTTGGAAAGTAGTAAGGATATTCCTCAAAAGACTAGGAATGGTGATATGACCCAGCTATCCAACAACTTGACATAAATCCAAAGAACTAAAGTCTGCATACTGTAGGACACAGGTACATCAATGTTTATAGCAGCTCAGTTCTCAATAGCTAATCTGTGGAACCAACCTAGATGCCCTTCAATAGATGAATGGATAAAAAAAAACCTGTGGTATTTATACACAATGGAATATTACTCAGCATTAAAAGGGAATAAAATTATGGCATTTGCATCATAAACCCTCCAGTATCAAAATGTCTCATATGGCCTGCGTGGTCTGACCTCCTCTCATTTCCCTCCTGGGTCTCTCTCAGTTCCTGATACTTTTGATCTTCATATATCCACACTGTTGTTCTGCCTCCATCTCATGTTTGTTTCCCTTTTACCTGCAGTATACTGAGGGGGAGGGAAGATTCACTGGGTGTTCCAAATCTGTGAGGCCACCCCTGATTGTGTATTTCATGTGCTGTTTCATGTGCAGAATTGAAGTGCCAATCAGTGTACCTGTGTTTCCCTCCTTGTGCTGCTGTGCTAGTACATTTTACTTCTTACAGTACACTCTTAATATTTTTTGCTTTAAATAATTATCTTCTTAAGCAACTAAAAAAAAAGACAATGTGTTTATATTCACCCACATGTTTAGTAGAGTTTTGTGTAGATCTCCATTTTTGTCTGGCATTTCTTCCTTTCTTCCTGAAGAACTTCCTTTAACATTTCTTATAGTAAAAGGCTATTGGTGGTGAATTCTCCCAGCTCTTCTTTTTCTGGAAAAGTCTTTATTTTTCTTTGTTTTTGAGAATTTAGATTGACAGATGTGCTGCTGTTTATTTTCATGCTTGCTTTTGAACAGTTTCTGTTCCCTGTCTTCAGATTCATTGTTCGTTGGCAGTGTCTTATCCTAGTCACCCCATCCAGTCTTTTTGTTTGTTTTTGTTTTAATAACATTTGCAGTGGGGCAACTGTGTGTCTTACTTTATTGTTTCCCTTCTCCTGAGGGCTGTGGTCTATGGTGCCTGTCATCCAGAATCTGAAAACTGTTGTTTCATATATTTTGTCTAGTTTCTAGAAATTTAAGATGGGAAAATAAATCTGGCCCCTGTTATTCCTTGTTGCTGGAATGCATTATGGTTTTTAAAAGCTTCTTCAGGAGAAACATTTTGTTTTTATATGTTAATTTTTCAGCATTGGGTTCAAGGAGATAGGAACTACCAGTGTGTGTGATACAAATAGGAAAAGAAGCCAAAGGTAACTTTTAACTCTGAAGGATTAGTGGAATAGTGGCACAATTAAAAGAGAAGGGGTAAAATATTATCAAATTGTATTAATTCTTTTATATTATACATCATAGGAGATGGTGACAGAATTGTATTCTGGCCCTTGCGTAGCAATGGAGATTCAACAGAATAATTCTACGAAGACATTTCGAGAATTCTGTGGACCTGCAGATCCTGTGAGTTGTAATTATTAATCTAGTTTGTATTATTCATTCACTTAATATTTAAACAGATTTGCTATTTTTTATTTATTCTTTTAAAAATAATTTAAAAGTGAATGTATACCAACATCTTTACTCAATAGTATTTTGAATAATAACATGTTATAATGTTCCAAGAAAAATAATTTTTACTAGCCTTGAGACAATATAGAATATATAGAAGCATTTATTCTGGCACTTTTTTATTGTTTCTTTTTGCTAAATTGTCCAAGTACATTTTGCAAACTTTATAATGAAACTTAAGGTATTATCCTTTGACATAGGAAAGACATAAATAGAGCTCTAAATGTGAAGAATATCAATATGGTGACATCATCTGAGATCCATAAGTAAATATGAGCAATGGAACTTGTCACTTGTCAATGATCTCAGAGTACACATATGAAGATCTCTTAGAGTGCTTAGACTTGCAGAGAAACAAACAGGTAAGGACCAAAATATTGATGTTCAGATGAAATTCAAATGTCAAAGTGTTACATAGTAAAGGAGCAATTCCTGTGCCTTGGAGGTAATTAGACTTTGTTAGAGAGGAGAGATGTAAATAGGGATTTCAAAGACAAATTGAGGAACAAAGAGAATGGGGAAAATGCTAATGCATGCACAAAGAAAGCAATGAAGAAATTTGCAAATTTTCTATGCTGCATAGCAGGAATATATCCCTGGCTTCAATGGGAAATGAATACCTGAAACACAAGGAAATATATTTTCTTAAATAGAGGAAATAAGGTAGAGAGTACTAGTAGATCTGATTGTGGAATGGGTAGCTTTACGAGCCACAATAGGAATGTAGATTCTGCATAATTTGAATTCTATATGGTAGGAAATAGGAATTAACTCTATGTATGTAGCTCAGTTTTGCGCATACTAAATTATTCCTTTGATGTAACAGGAGACTAGATGGGAAGAGGTTAAAGACAGAGGCTCTAGAAGTGGAAAGGAGCAGATCTGATGGCATTAGTAGAGCAAGTCATCAGGGTCTCCTTAGAGTCTTCTTGGGGAGAAAGGAGAGTAGATATAAATAACGCATTGAGTGGGAATGTGTGGCAGTTATGCCTGATTCTTTTGTGAGAACTTTGGAGAAAACAGTGGTAACGCTATTTACTGAGCGCTAGTCTTAAGATAGAAAGGGATACTTTTTGGCTTGAAGAGAAAGCTGAACTCAGTTGTTGCATTCTTCTCATTTTTAATTTATCTTTAATACATGGTAGGTATTCATTTTTAAGATTAAAAAATGTGAGAGAACAGCTAACCAAACAAATAGGAATAAATTAAAGAAATGAAAAGTAGAACAAAAAAGGAGTTTTTGTTCATTCTTTCAGTCTCTCATTTGTTCAGTAAATACTGTGGAACCTGTTCAGGTGTTTGTAAATATAAAGATAGAAACTTCAAGAACTGACAGCCTGCAAATGAACAACCTTTCTAGTGGCTAGTTTTATGCACTGTGTCACTTGCATTGTTTGCAGGTGTTATGGGAACTTGAATTATAGCACTTAGCTCAGCCCAAGGATGGGCAACAAGGGTTGGGGAAACTTCTTGAGGAGAATGACATCTGAGCTGAATTGTGAGGAGTGAGTGAAACATAACTTGGTGTTACTGGGGAGGATCACAGTGTCGCTTTTGGGCTATAGCAGGCTCATGACTGTTGTTGAAGCTGAAGTAAAGGCAGGGAACGCCAGGATGGCTTTGCTGGGGAGGAGGTGGTGAGTGACGCGGTATGATCATAGACTCTGAAAAGAAAAACATGCTGACTCTCTTAGGATGTTTATTCAATGAACATATACTGAGTGAATATTATGTGCTAGGTACCACAGTTGGTGCAGAACAGAGATAACTAAAACAAAGTGTTGTTCCTTATGGATCATAATATCATGATAGCTTAATTTGGAAACTTTCAGGCCATGAATCTTGCCTCATTAAACATGGCTGGAATTACTGTACTGTGGGTTTTTGTTTTTGTGCTTTCACTTTTGTTGTTTATGAGCCTCACATGGAAGGGGGGGGTGACAAATAACTTGTGTACATTGATACAGCAGGAGTAGGAGCCGTTTATTGTAGGACAACAGAGCTATTTATACATTCCACACAGCTTATCTTAATTAGTATAAACTAGATACATCAGTCAACCAATAAGGAATCTCCACACTTAATGGCGCGCTTTTGTTACTTCTCAAACCACTCCCTCTGGCATTTTGCCAGGCACCATCCAGACTTGTTTATGAACTCTAACATTTCTCTGGAAAAATACCAGGTGTTATTTTGACTTGTTTACAGACCTTAACATTTCCCCCTTTTGTTTAATTTAAATAACAACCATAGTGGTTTTTACACAAACACCATAAATAATCTGCTACAAACAGAAAGGGAGGATACAAAATGTTACAATACCAAGCCAATTGATGGCTCCATGCAAGAAGCCCTTGGAAAAATTATACCAGCAATGACACCGTTAGCAAAGATACCCAGTTAAAATTTGTTGTAGATTACAGTTTGTTGTCTCAGTCCAGGTAAAGCAGTGTCTCAACAGATTAACTCACAGTCCAGGTAAATCACAGTCCAGTAAGTTCTGCAGGCAGCTAGCTTAAATCACAGTCCAGGTAAGTTCTGCAGGCAGCTAGCTTGATCCGAAGTCTCATCCAGTTTTCAGCTGAAGTTTCGTCAGGTTTTCAGCAACACCACAGGGGTTTTAAAATTTTGAGCTAATTTAATATGTAAAATGTTAATAGTGGTTTTCTTTGGGAAGTGGAATTATAGTAATGTGTTAGTTTTATTTTCATGTATTTTACAAATTTTCTTTAAAGCACGTGTAAGAGAAAATAATTTTTACTTTATCATAAACCTGAAAGTCAACAGACTTTTAAATGCAGAGGCATCTATCTGTTAGAACTGACTCTCCTTTGAGTCTCGGGGTGCTGAACTACATGCTGTTTCTAAATACAGATTAGGCTGTCAGACGGGACCACACGCATTTGATGGGGGTTTCCAGGACACAAGAAGCACAGTGGTAGTAGTTACAAACCATGCTTCCAAAACAGTGAGATGTCCCTTTCTCTGTGGCTCAGACTTCTTTGTTTTATCTAGTTCTCACAGCTTCCTTTTCCCCTTTCCCCTCACTTCTCCAACAAATAAGTATCGAAAGCTTACTACATGCTAGTCGTTGTGCCAGATGCTAACTGGGTTTATATTTGTTGGAAAAAATTTTAGTCTTAACTCTAGCAAAAGACAGAATTGATAATTAACAAGAATTTCACTTTAAATTTGCATGTATGCCAACCTGTTCATGTAGTATTCATCTTAAAATAATTTAGAAATTCATTCTTCATTACCTGCAATTCCCATATCTAAAGAAAGATATTGTTACAATACATGTAAATGTAATTATTACTTGGAGGACTGCCAGGTACATAATGGTCATGCAATTAATGCTAGATAAATTAGTGAATAGACTGTTTTTATGTATACCTAACATCTGGTACTCACTCATTGGTTAAAATGTATGTGACCTACCAAAATGGGTCCTTTTCTTTATTCTTTTATAAGATTTAGACCTATTTTATAATTTGATTCAGACTAACAGAAACCAGTAAGTAGCTTTGTAACTTACAAGTTGCAGATTGACCTCATTGCATCATTGAAGCCTTTGCTGTTGGCAGATTTTTCTTCCTTGTGGTCTTATAGTTTTTTGTTCATGAACTCATTGTTTATGAATAAAATTTCTTCGGTATCTCTAGACGTTCTAGAAGCAGTATCCAAACAGAATGGTTCACAAGACAGCTCATTAGGGAAGCAGGGGATAGGGGATAATTGATCATAAATTTATATTTTACTATCCAAAGTAAGAAATTTTTAATAAAATATAATGTTTAAATAAGAATACATTTATAAATCTATTAAAGTATATACATATTTTGAGTTATTCACTTATTTTACTAATAGGGATACTTGAAAACATTTGGAGGCCAATGGAAAATATATCATATTTTTTTTTACAATTAGAGATGTATTCACTCAGCACACCATCCCCACATGCAGAAAATAAGTCCACCTGGGCAGAATTCCAGATTTGATTCTTGAAAGGTTTTGATTGCACTTGCTGAAGAATTTTCATGTTGAGTACAGTAGCAGTTTTCATGCTGAGCCATTAGGAAACTCAGAATCACCAAAGAAGTAGTAAATTGTCTAGAAGAATTGTACAGATTACATTTGCTCTTGGACTGGTAGATCTGTTAAGCCAAAATAATTTAACATACTGTATTGGTCAGCTTTCTGCTATTATGATGAAATACCCGAGGCAATTAATTTTTTTTTAAGAGAGAGAGAGAGAATTTTTTAATATTTATTTTTCAGTATTCGGTGGATACAACATTTTTATTTATTTTTTTTTATGTGGTGCTAAGGATCGAACCCAGCGCCCCACGCATGCCAGGCAAGCACGCTACCGCTTGAGCCACATCCCCAGCCCCCTGAGGCAATTAATTTATAAAGGATTTTTTTAGCTCCCAGTTCTGGAGGTTCCAGTCCATGATCAGTGGCCTCATCACTTTGGGCAGCTGGTGAGCTAACTGGATGGCAATGGTGGAGAGTGGGGGTCAGAGCATACAGCTCAAATCACAAGCTAGGAAACAGAGAGAGACAGGATGGGCCAGCACTCCTCAATCCCCTTTGAGGGCACCACTCCAATGACTGAAAGACTTCCCACTAGGCCTCACCTCTTAAAGGTCCACAGTATCTACCAGTAGTGCCTGGGAGCTACCCCCTTTAACACTGGGACCTTTGGAGGACTCTTCGTATTCACACCATAGCACGTGAGCATACTTTGTTTCATGAAAAATCTATTCCTAAAACATATTATGTAAACCACATCATATAAAATGTAAAGGATCTTATTTAAAAGAATCTAAAATTTTTGTAAAATGAATATCCACCTTCATCTGCCTTTATACTTTGAAAACCTTTAC